TTTTTAAAGGCCTTAAAGCTACATAGAATTTCTTTTCATTTACAAAAACACTTAATTAAGGTGTACAACTCAGTAACACGGAGTTTAAGAGGACATTTTTAACGAAATATATGAAACATTATAATAACATTTCCATCGATATCTCACGTACTTTTTAAGCAAATATCTGAAATGTATTATAACATTTCCATCGATATCGGGAACACAGGCCACTTGACCCAGAATTCGCTAACGATAGCTCAAAGTTCAAACACTCGCGATTGTGCAACGTCGGTTAATTTTCATTGTAAGATAAAGACTAAAAGACGTTTCATTTGCAAACGCTGCCTTTTCGGCGAAGATACGAGAAACGTTATTTAAACCGTTCTTGTCGATACCGTAAGGACGAGAATGCACGAGAGTCATCAATTATGTTTGACCAATAATTCACGTAACATTTGACGGTTCAATTTGAAAATGTTTGCGTTGCATAACCGGCCTTCTATCCGAAGATGTTCATTACTTATTCGAGAAAATAACGACAGTTTTTGCGATAAATTACTTCCCAAAAGACCCGAAGTAGTGGAATGCACGTTTAGAAATAATATATAATTATTGGCTATAATCGTATAAAATGTATTACAAGAAAACATGTTTTACACATTCTAATGTCCGCCCTTTACACGTCGAAATCAACGTTTATATTAATACTTTATGTTTATAATTAAATAATAAATTGGTGTTAACACTTTACGTTCATTATTAAATTATAAGCGAGTACGTACTCGACGCGTTTATATAAAATACGTGGAATAGATTAACTTCGTCGTCTTGTAAATGTTACAATCCGAGCATAAAATAATTGATCATTATCGTTCGCTGTACTTTCAATTAACGCAAATATATTATATTACAATACATGTCTCTTCTAGATTACCGGACAAGCACACCGAAAACCTAACATGCAAAATCACTGTTTCTTATAAATATCACGAAACTCGGTAGAGTTTCGAGCCAAATAAATTTTTGAGCGAGAAACACAGCGTTGCGTGCTGAGAGAAACGCGCCCTGCGCCCTTGAGTTGACGAGACGCTACTGAGTTCTATATGCTAAGGATCGAGATTTCAGGAGTGCAAGAAATGGGAATCTACTCTCTCCATTACTATAGAAAAAGAAATGAACATCTGATCAGCTTAAAAATCGAGTAAAGATCAGGAATTTTTTTTAATTTACCCGGCTCCGATCGCTAGTATCTACGTGAAGATCCTACCTATAGCATCTTAAAGTTTTTCAGCACTCTCAGAATCGTGGTTCTGTTATCATCATCGGCGCCGCCCCAGTCACAGACATAATAGGTAGACTCTCATATAATTTTTGGGCAGTTAACATGCGACACCGCCTCGCGCGGGTCAAAAAGGAACTATACCAATCCCAGCTTTAAAATGACTGGATTTTTATAGAAAAAAGGTTTCTTACTGTTTTTCAGATCGCTGAAGCCAAATCAGATAAGTAAAAATTTTAAACTGATTTTATTTTTATAAGAAAAAAAGAATTCTCTAGAATCTTGGAATCACTGAAATAGAATATGACAGCAGAATACGAATTTCAAAATTCAAAATGGCGGATCACACAAGGTGAATAATATAATTCCAAAATGATTATTATAAAAACGATTTAGCGTGGTTTGTATAGCCGCTTAATCCAAAACTGGTAACAGAATTTCGATATTCCAGATGGCGGATCCAATATGGCGGATAAAAATATATAAATGCTTGAATTTTTACAACAATAAGTTTCTCACGGTATTCATGACCGCTGAATCGAAATTTGACAACGTAATTTCAAAATGCAAAATGCCGGGCACGAAATTACAAAATTGTTGCATTTTTTATTAAAAAAAAAATGGGTTTTCCCAGATCTACAAGGTTGCTGAATCCAATTCTGGAAGCAGAATTTAATAATTGAAAATAGCTGATCTAATATGGCGGATAAAAATGTAAAAATGGTTGGATTTTTATAAAGTTGGGTTTCTCGCGGTTTTTGTGGTTGCTAAATCCTAATTTGATACAAGAATTTCAAAATTCACATTGGCGGATAAATTATGGTGGTATTAAAAATGTTCAGGGTGTTAATATAAAAAAAATATATTTATATATACCGCGTAGTTGAAATATACATATTCTTAGTAACTTCTTATCAAATTACATGTTTGTAGTACTTATATTTTGATATTATAGGACTGCATCAGATACATTTTCCGATTTTATTATTAATAATAGAGACATTAACATTTTTTTACCAAAAGCAGTGAAATCCCCTCAAAACACCTTCGGTGTACAAAAATTTAGCCAAATACATTTATCTTTATTCAATTAATTGCAAAAATAACTCAAATTACTCCCTTCCCATGAAAAGCTCAAATCAGCTATTTTTGCCAAATATCGGGTGCCGAGCACCCGAAGTATAGTCCTAGCATATGATCATTTTGGTGCTCGCCAAATGAAATATTATTTTCAAATTTAGTTCCTAATTATTTTATTTGTTTCGATATAGTTTTTAATGTTTGTCTTCGGTTTGAGGAAGCAAAAAATCTTGTACATACAACATATGTGAAACCAAATGTACTGTGACATTTGGCAAAAAGATTTTAGCTGAGACTTTCATGAAATGTTCTACTATGTTTGGCTAAAATAGCTGATTTGAGCTTTTCATGAGAAGGGAGCAATTTGAGCTATTTTTGCAATTAAGTGAACAAAGATAAATGTATTTGGCTAAATTTTTGTACACCGAAAGTGTTTTGAAAGGTATGTTTGACCCTAGATCTACCAAGGGGGATCAAAATGACTTGTTTGGCATTTCTTATAATTAAGTTTATAATATTATTTTTGTATAGTTCAAATATATTTTTAGAAAACTAATATATTTTCGTACATCTACTTTGTACAAAATTACTATAAGAGACATGTGTTATGTTTGCTCAATTTTTTATTCTTGTTTTATTAGTTTCTTCATATTGTTACGTGGCTGTAACAATATCTTCGCGCGTGTATAAAAACATGTGACGCTTGTATATATCAATATACTTCTGTTTTCGATGCTCTTGCATCGCGGAAGCTATTTCACGTTCAGTCAGAAAGAAATGCTTACAGAGAAAACATTATTTTGTGCCATAATACTTTTAGAAAATCGTAATTATGTTTTTTAACGTAATCTGCAGAAATATTTTAACCCATAAAATGACTTAGAAACTATGACAAAATTTTCACGAAGCAGCAAATTATTGAAATAAATAAATAATGTGGATGATTCAGTTTATTATTCAATTTTCATTCATAAAGTAGAAAAATATATGAAAACGTAATAATTGCTATGACTTTTCTTAAATGACTTATTAATTGGAAAAACAAGTAATTTTGACCCCGCCGGTAGAAGTAGGTATACGTCAATCGCCGGTTGTTCTAGTGTTATGTAGAGAAAAAAAATCATGTGTGGAAAAATGTTCATTATTTTACAGCTACGTTATATCTGCCCGACGTTCACGTATTTAAAACGTGTATTCCACTACTTTATGTTTATCGTGTTACCTTTCTTCCGGCGAAAAGTAACCAACGATTACATGAAAACACATTTAGCGCAATTGCATCTCGTCATGCCATATATATTTGATACAGCTTATTTACATCTCCTCGTTAAACGATTCAACCTTCGAACGGTCGGAAAAAGCGATCGTGTGACGTGCCGATAAATTAAAACCGGCGATTATTCAAATATTGTTTATATATGGGGCCAGATCTCGCGAACGACTATTAACGACCGCTCGAAAAGACATTCTTCACTCTAAACGGATCGAGGACAAACTAAATGTTATTACCTACACTTAACATATATTGCTTGCTCTCGGAAGGCCGAGTAATTGCATGGTACAGTCAAGGCACATCACTTTATAACAAATGGCATTATTTCTTTATAATGCATCCGTTTCTAGTTCCGTTGGCGTTAATGTAAACAAGTAAAGTAAACGTTCTTCAAGTAACAATCTATACACGGTGACACTAAGATTAAAATAACGATAACGAAGCCCACTTAAAAAGCCAGAAATAGAGCGCCACACTGTTAACAATATTGATAAAATTTATACACTTTTGGTACGTACGTAAATGTGAATTGGTAAACATTTATTCTAGATTTCCAAATAAATTCATAATTTTATAACATTATGCTATAATTCTAAGAAATTGTGTAGAGAAATTATCACACTTATGTACTAAACTTCATTTAAAGTATTATATATTTTATTTGAAAAATGTTATAAAATCAATAAACCAAGTCGAAAAAAACGTCCACGTACACCGAAATGTAAGAACTAAATTTATGAAAACATTAAGACAAAATTATAATATTGATAATCATTTTAGACCAAGAATTAGAATATTATCGGTAATTATATATTTTAACCAAAGAGAATTCCTTTGTTACCCCCAAACTGCATTAAAATGAATAAATAAGAACAATTCTATACATGAAAACTAACACCTACATCGACATGTAAGGAATAATGTTGTGAAAACACCGAGTAATTAAGGCCTTTAATAGTAACACTACCCGCACTTTCCAATCAAAAGAACCTTTATCGCATTAAAACCAAGACTTCTTACATAATTTTCTATAGAACTTCCATATATTAAGGCGATAAGAGATTAATCATCCATTATGAAACTTTTCGCCGAACTGGGTGTACCGAATCGGTTGAATTTGACCACATGAATATGGAGAGTCTGAGAAAGGCCCAGACACCCATGAAATTTCATTTTTCAAAAAAAGATTAAGAAATGTATTAAAAAAACTTTTAAACATTACATCTCTTGAGTGTGAATCTCTCCTGATTCAAGTCCTCCGCATTTACGTGGTAAAATTTCAAACAATTCGGTTCATCCAGTTTAAAAAAAAAGCTTCATAAATGTGACCCCTCAGACGCCACTTTTATACCATTTTAAGTAAAGAACTATATTTCACATTCCTAGATATGCCTGCCTTCGAGGACCAGTGTCCAGTCAAGGGACTAGAGGGCCTTTTAGAAGAGAGCTTTGGCGAACCTTTGGAAGTACAACACGTTAATTGGAGGCGCTTAACCGAACCGGGAGACAATTACGGCAGCCTGATAATCTCCCTAGACGTAGAAATCGGCAAAAATGGAAATCAGGAGACATTACACCTCGTCGCTAAACTCCCACCGTGCACGCAATATCTCTTGGACCTGTTCGATAGCCCGGTGACGTTCCACAAGGAGATCTATCTGTACAGGACGTTGGTTCCCGCTCTGATCGAGCTGCAGCTCGAAAATGGGCTGCCAAAGGACAAAGTCGTTCCGCTGGTTCCACAATTTTACGGCGGCAGAATGGGCCTATCCAACCGGGAGACGTTCGACACCCAAGCCGCGCTTATCCTGGAGAACCTGGTAACGAGTGGCTACTCCACCGAAGAACGGATATCTGGGATGGACAAGGCGCATTTAGAGTTTGCGGTGAAGAGGTTGGCAGAAATGCACGCATTGCCCATAGCCTTGAAGCTGAAAAAGCCAGAGGTCTTCAAGACCGCCATAGCACCAGCCTTCGTGCCCCCTTCAAATGACACGGCTGCAAAATGCATCTCGGGGATGATCTCCAACGTCCACGAGGACTTGAGGAACATGGAAGAGGCGAAGCCTCTGATCGGCAAGATAGACAGGACCTTGAAGTTCAGCTATGACAAGGTGGACCTTGCGGGTAAGGTAGAAGAGCCTTGGGGGACTCTGGTGCACAACGACTTCTGGGTCAACAACATGCTCTTCAAACACGACCATTCCGGGAAAATAATTGACATGAAGATCGTGGATTTCCAGCTATATGTCTACGACTACGGCATGAAGGATCTCATCTTCTTCCTGATGTCAAGCGGCAGGAATGACATCATGGAGGAGAACCTCGATCGGCTGATCGACCTTTACTACGAGTCTTTTATCGGGTGCTTGAAGTCTCTGAAGGTGGATGTTCAAGAGTTTTCGAAAAAGTTGTTCATCGACTGTCTGAACAAATGTGCTCCCGCTAAACTGGCACAGTGCCTGATGATGACTCAGGTTATCCAAGCCGAGCGGAATAAAGCGGCTGATCCTCAAAAAATGGATGAATTGAACAACTTTAAAGCCACCGGACAAGCCTACGAGCGCAAACTGTTGGACATCGTGAGAATTTATGACAAAAGGGGATGGTTCGTCAATTAACCAGACGACTACTTTAGGAAAAACTTGCCAAACCTGCAGCTAACCGTAATGCAGCAGCTCGCCAAACGTCTTGCCCGAAATGTGTCTTTCAGAGGGCTTTATCTATTTCTGCTTATATTACTGCTTTGTATTATAGTATAAAAAAAGGGCATTCGATATAAGATGTTCGTGCCTTGTAATAAAGTCCATTTAAGCAGATTACTTGTTCAATGTTAATTCGTTGTAAACACAGCGGGGAGCTACATCATATAAAAATATCAAGTCTACTTACCTCGAGCAAATCGGCTACCGCATCTGGCAGGTTGAACTCTCTCACCACGCGAAGACGCACTTGTCTGTTGATTTCGTGACGAGAAGACAATGGCAAACTTGCAGCACGTAAACAACTGGGTGACTGCCTCAGTTTTTGTTCTCGCTTCAACATGGCTGACATTATCGCCGAATCTGGAACTGAAAACACCCCTATTTTTATTCCTGTTTGCATATTACCCATTTGTATACAACGTGTCTCATTTTAAATGATTCATTGGAAAATCTTCCACGATCCAAGAATTTAATCGAAAAGTTGCGTATAAAGTTACATGGTTTCGAGGGGGAAAAGTGAGAAAAATATGAAGGAAATGTAATATTTACAATGGTGGCATCACAGCAAGCAACGTTTGTTTTTTTAATGCAATAATATTTATTTTTTTCAAGTTTCTTTTTTGNTAAACATGCGTGCGGGCAAATTCAATTACTCATTTGAAAAAATAGTGGATCCAATATGGGTGACCTCCGTTCGTAAAACTAACGACTCAAGTAAATTGCGAGCATTTTCAAATTAAACAAATTTTGTGTAGAAATAATTTATTTTTCAAAACAAAATCAACGTGCCCAAAATCATCCTTCTATGACAAAATATAAGCAGTTGAGTCGTTACGAAAAGATCGTACGAATTATACAGTAATGTTTATTTCTTTAACTTTTAACTACAGAGAAAACTTGGGGAAAGAGTGTCAACTTTTGAGTGAATCGAGAAATAATTCCTCCAAAAACTATAATTTGTCAAAGGTGAAACTTTAAAAAAATATTCAATTAAAAGTAAGCGTTGCTTGCTGAAACGTCATCATTGTAAATGCATTTTGTTTCATATTTTTCCAACTATTTCCCTGGAAATCGTGCAACTTTCGAACATTTCTTTTTATTAAACTCATGGTTTGTAAGATATTCTAATGAATCATTTAAAATGGCGCACTGTGTAGCTCTGCAATGGACGTATTAAATATTGTACATGAATGAAATAGATCACAATTGATTCTGGCCAATCGGTAAGATACTTTGTTATTTAAATTACGTGCGATTACCTGGAAGAGCTGCCGCAAGAACGTCTACTCCAACAGTGCCCATTGGTCTTGGTTTATCATCAACCATATAGAGCGTATCAGGTATATCAGGAATGTATCGCGCCCTGCGTAACCTTACTAGTTCTGCTTCTTGGACCAACTGCTCTTCGACTAAAGCCTGTCGAAAAGAAACGATTTATCAAATAAACAAAATATTTCCCGTAAAATGTTTCAGCATTCATAAAATGAGCCTCTGGATGTTAAGGGGATGTGAAAGTGATATCGGAGGAGTCAATCGTTCGTGAAAGTATTCCTCGAAATGGGTGTACCAATTTGATTCAAATTTAACCACGTAAATAAAGAGACCTTGAAGTAGATCCTGAAGTAGATAAATTTCATTTTTTATAAAAAATGTTGAAAATAACCGTAAACAAATTATCTTAAAATTGAAATTTCATAGGAGTCAGGACCTTGCTTGTAGCCTCTGTATTCACATTGTAAGGTTTTAAACGATTCGGTACACCCAGTTCGGAAATAAATTTCATAACCGAGACCTCTTTCACACCCCTTTCACACCTTAACTTTAAGAATATGTAATAATAACGCTCTTTCAGGTTTATTGAATGTATTCTGATATTATAAAATTCTTATTAAAGCAAGTGCAACACACCTTTATTTCCTCGTAGTAAGGCATAAATAACCGAGGCCTCACGAATAGACCATTCTTCTTTCCTCCTCTGATCCAAGCATTTACTCTCAGATTCTCATTTTCGTCCCCTATCATATGACTCGGTGGGGTAGAGACTAATCCCCTTCTGATAGCCTATGGAACCATAATTTCACTATTAACAATCCTATGTAAGTACTTTTTATGAAACAGAATTGCAGGAATCAAGGGCTCAGAAATTACAATCGGTGCGTGACCGCCACACAGGTTCGAAGTGAGCTTCTAATTATAAGTTAACAAGAATTCTTATTAATTATTCACAATCATTCTTGACAAATACCCTTGTGCAATCGGTACTGGTTGCTTTGAGCAAAACAATATTAACACATAAAAATGATTATAAATAGTAATGAACTATAAAAAAATAACGAAAACGTTTAGGCAGAGTGTGTCAATACGAAGACGCAAAGATGAATGCAAATAGTGATTAACTTTAAAAACGAATAATGATGCCCGGTTCCACCAACCTCGGTTAAATCATTGATTACATAACCGTAGGTTAAAGTTAACGTCTAAGTTAATCATGGGTTGAAAACGTAAATGTTCCACCACATTTATTTAGAGCGTGATTAACTAATCGTATACACCAAGTAAATCGAATTGTCGGTAAACGCGTTCGCGTAATTGACTTTGATCGACTAGAAAGCAAGATAAATGCGTCCTTATCGAGACACGAAATCCCCGTAATTTAATGCAAGAAGTTATTTGGTGAATGCTAGACTCGAGAAGTAAAGATCTTTGGTTAAGAATTAATATAAAATATTTTCAAGCGTACTTCCATGATTAAGAAATTGTAAATAAAATCAAAAACGTCTTCATCCGTTTTATCATAAACAGATGTTAATACATACTGAATCTAATCCATGATTTCCGCACGTTTGTGCAGTTTTTAGATTGAAGTTCGATTAAGTGAAGCTAAACGATCGAATTTGGCTGATTACCTAAACGGCAATTAATGAAAATTAACCCGCCGTTAAAGTGAGGTGGAACGTACAACTCGTTGTAACCGAGGATTAGTTTTTTGACCGAGGTTAGTGGAACTGGGCATTAAGATAAGATGCACATAATAACGAGCGGCGATATTAATGTCAATTTTGCTAAGCCAGAAGCACAGTTACTAACTGATTTTTCAAATAACACATTCAAATAAAGTTAAAATAATAAAAACTTTTACATTAATTGTGTTACTAGTAACACACCCAGATGAATGTAAGTAGTAATTAACTGTAAGAAAGAAAAAATAAATGCACATTCCTTAATACGAAAAACTTACGGTCAACTTATACTATACGACAACGGCCGACACCTATCAGTTCCTACACGAGTACCGATCCGACATAATTTTGTTGCGTTAAAACGCAACAAAATTTAATTGTCTATTGAAATAGAACCGTTTACATCATCCGACACGGATTCGCATGTTCTGTCGATGCCGGATAGTGTGAATAATTTCATTGAAACGCGTGTTACAAAGTTATGTCCGATCGGCACCGGTACGTGTCGGTTTCTATTCGATTGTATGAAACTACCTCTACACCTCCTGGAGTGTCACGAGAAGCTTAACCGAAGAAAATCAGAAAGGTCGACTGGAATTACGAACCTGGGACAAGACTTCGTTATTAGGAGGCAAGATATGGTCCATCCTGACGAGAGGCAAAAGCTCGCTGAGAATCTCCCGGAGCTCGATGTCGCTGAGGTCTCGTTTCTTGACACCCTTCCGCGTCACGGAATGTGCCGTGTGACTGAGCAAATTAGGTTCCCGGTCCTCCATGCGACGCACCAATTCGTGTTCACCCCATTTCAGAACAGCTTGCAACACCTCCAACTCACTTGCTTGTAGAAAATAACTTTGCAGCACATTAGCTAAATGAGCGTGGTCCAATTGGTGGAGAACCGGGGAGGATGCGACTGCCTGGAACTCCTCTCTGAGATAATGCAGTGCTTGTCTGTGAACCCACGCTGATCCGTGTGGCTGGCTGCCCCACCTGATAACAGATAAAATTAAAAATAATAAATAACGAAAACAAGAAACAAACGTTGTTACCCCGATAGAATTACTTGTCCTAATAAAACTTATTCCGTGATGTCGTAATAAACTCAACTCAAATGTAAGCTAAGCTTGCAAGGACGCTTTTTATTTTAATTAACCCTCTATGACCACCCTGAGTTTTTTGGATACAAAAAAAAACAGTTAAACTGAAATATTCGTCGTAAGTATTTTGTTCGTTACTAAAAAAGCTGCCAATATCTAAATTACAAATTTAAAGGCTATTGAAAAATGTAGGAGAGATCTTGAAAAGTAGTCCTGCATTTTCTCAAATTTCTAGAACCTTAATGAAAAAATTGGGTCTGGACAAAATGTATCTAGAGGAATAACGAAGGCAGTAAAGGTAAGGATGATCATGGAGGACTAAACAATTGAACAATCAAGAATTCACCTTTGTATCGAAACCATATGTAAAATACCTGAGCACTGTCGGGAGCGAATCCAATGTAAGCCACTCCAAAATGAGATCTTCGCATCCTTGAGAGAGAATATCCAACTCCAAAAATCTTCCAATCTGATACAACTCCATGGCTTCTTCGATAGGACTGGGTCTCGTTCGCCCGGTATGGGTCAAGGCTTGAACCTGAGTTATAAAAACAAAGCTATCACGTTAATTTAAAGAAAAGTTGTGCGATCACCATGCGCGTTGAAAGTGGAACTTCTAAGTTAAAGAGATTAGATATTACTAATTATTCTTTTATGAAATGACCTTACGCTTTCAGTGCTAATTATTTTGGGCATAATTATCTTTAATTTTCATTTTGTCAATAATTATCCGACAAAATAACGTACGAATGCTAACAAAATGTTTACGCAAATTGTTCCAATGCTAACACACAAAGATGATTAAAAATAGTAATGGACACTAAAAATAAAATGTACGTAAATTGTATCAATACTGTAAAAAAAATATGTATGTAAATCATTATTAAGGGGAAATGGTGCTACTCGACAAACTTCGAGTTGACCGTGCTGCTACGTAACGGAGAAACAGTGTGAACTCATCGGACGTCAGATCATATATATCTAGACCTCGTATTGGATCTCCCACTCTCAAATTTTAAGTAGAATGGCTTTAAATGTATGGGATAAGGGGCCGCTTCACGTGGTATATTCATTTACCCCTTCTGTTGCAAAGCGAAGTCCACAATATATTCTGAAGTCTGATCTTTACATGTACACAACGCACCCTACTTCGTGCGGCCTTTTCACGTGGTACATTCACGTGGAATTTAGGTCTTTCACTGCAAAGCGAAATCTATATATATATAAGCTACTTCCAGGTCGCGCTTCCTCAACATCGGAACGACATGATGTAAACTAGCGCTCATAGCGGAAATTCGCTACAGTTCTATGCGAAGAAAAACCTCCTCAGTAACATACGTCGCATATTTACCCTAAAAAATTTCTAGTTTGGTTATTCATCAATTCCCAGTGATAAAGGGTGAACTTGACAAGTGTACAACTTTCCCTGCAAGTTCCTTTTTTATTTTTATTAATGATTACGTAAAACAGTGCCATGAGTGCTGAACGGGTAACGACAGAAGCCACGTTGGACCGCCACGATGAGCTGCCAGTGCGGACCTTTACTCGCTATTTATATTTTTTGTGAAAAATAATTTTAAAATCTAGCTCCGCAGGGAAAATTATAATATCTGAAGACTGCAATTTTTTCCATTTAAATTATCCATGGTACATCCTGTTCAAAGATTTTTAGATACGAAATTTCCTTGCTTTCAACTCTTCTACACAAAGGAAATGATGTACCATTTCCCCGTAAGAAGTATCAGCCGACAAGATTCGCAAAAACGTTATACCTCCCCAAGGCTGCCAGCACCATTTCCGCTACCACTGCCTCTTAAGATCAGCGACAGATCAACGGTGTCTAGGTACACGGCGTGGAGCAGGACCCTGGCATACCGTTTAGGTATGACGCACTCGTCAAGTACTATCCTCGTAGAGACGTGAAGAGCTCTTTCGGTATGGTCGTCGCCCGACCTTGTCCTACGTTGTATAAGATTCCGGAAGAAAGGAGACCTGGCAGAGAGTATCGCCTTGTGGCACGGCAGCTCCAACTTGGGCCGAAACCCATACTCCGAGCTGCCGCTGTCGGGTCTCTGGTAATCGTTGTCCGACGTGAACACCAACGCGGCATCCGCGTAGTCACCGGTGTCCAAGAGGTATCTGAGATCATGCTCGAGGGGATTTGGCGTGCCGAATTCGTCGCCGAGTTTTCGCAAGAGTTTCGCGTCCATCGACGCATCGTGAGAGCATATATCACCTGTGTACAGGTAGCGCAACAGCGCGGAGAACATCGACACCTCCAGATTGGGAGTTCGAAGCTCCAGGCAAATTCGAGCTCCATACCCTGAAATCAATCCATAATTAAAGGGATGTGAAAGTGACATCCGAGATATCAATCATTCATGAAGCCTTTTGCTGAACTGGATGTACCGAATCGTTTCAAATTTTACAATGTGAATATGGAGTCTACAATGAAGGTCCCGACATCCATGAAATTCCATTTTTTAAATACTTATAAACAAATTAAAGAGAAATTGAAATTTCACAAGTGTCAAGACCTTCCTTACAGACTTCACATTCACATTGTAAATTTTAAAACGATTCGGTAAACCCAGTTCGAAGAAAAGTTTCATAGACAAAAAACCTTTTCGAAGCCACTTTCATGTCACCTTAAAGTGACTCAAAAGGCGGGCTTGAACAGTCAGTTGCGCGAATAAACTTTTTTAACTGATGACTGAAACGATTCGTCTTAAATTTTAACTCACGATTATAGAGGCCATAAGGCCGTTAAAAAAATTAGCTTTTTTAACAAAAAATTTTCTTTATTTACTTTAGACCAGAACCAAGTCACATATTTTTGTCATTATTCATTTCTAGAAGGCTCTAAAGTAACGACTGAGTGTTAGGAATTATACCTAATCGCTTGTAAAACATTATATTCGCAGGAAGTTATACTTTTGAACTCGAAAAAGGGGAAAAAAGTTTATCCGTGAATTTGAGGTGTACGACGCAGGTACCCCGTGCACTGTAATTGTTCTCGGAGCAAAAGATTAGTTACTGCTGAAACAACAAATAGAACCATAGTGTTAAGTATATTATTAATAATCACCAGCTCAGGGGATTTTTGGAGTTTTATTTCGATTTCTTCATAATGATTCTATTAAAATGACATATGGAGTATACTACTGTGTATAATTCGCAATGCAAAGTGCAACGGATAACAACATAAATATAAATGTCGGTAACGTGGTTCGCAAATTCAGATAGTCTAGCAGTTAGATGGTATATCAGCATTCGATTTTACTGATGACGATGAAATTTCTCGGCGCTTTTCATATTACCTTAACAGGTGTAAAATAGACGCAACAATAACATTGACGTGAAAAGAGTGGACATTAGAACGTGCAAAACTCGTTTTCTTGCAATAGACTTTATACGATTATAATTAGGAGTTTTCCTCTGCTTCAAAATGTATATACCACTCAAGATTGATAAAAATCATAATTTATTTTAAAAAAATAATATATATAATTGACTTTTTTAGTCACGATTAAAAAAATACGTTAATTATTTAAAAAAACTTCTCATTCAAAAGATTAGACTAAATCAATATTACACATAAACTATTATAATTTGTTTTCGCAAGTCGAGAATAATGGAGCCACGATCTGATAATTCCCATATTGTGCATTGTAGTATCATCTGCTGATGTGTAGAAAAAACTTTTTTTGTATATAGGATTGCACATTCAAATATTAGGAATAAACTGGGCAATCAAAAACCATGTAAGTTCGAATTTCTTTATAAACATTATAATAGTTAAGCTATGCTTAATGTTTACAGTTTGTGTAGAGATATTCTCTGGTGTGCGTGCGTGAGACGTCTTTTATTTAAATATATGTAAAAAATACTGATTATTTTCTTTCTGCAAATAAATATTAGAATTAAGACTTTCGAATTTTTAACTCCAAAAGATTCCCATGTGTGATACTAGTGATTTTAATCAAATTACTTAAATCAGCTCAACCTTGGTTTCAATGTTTCTGTTTGTTATATTTTTACCTGGACATCCTGCTAAGAGTTCGCGAAAGTATGGGCATCGGGCCGAGATGAGAGCTCTGTGGACCGGGAAACAGGCTCCCCGGTAAACCAGCACCACGTCCGTACAATGTTTGTAGTCGTATAACGTCGAAAGATCTTGTTTGAACGTGGTGGCCGGGGGCCTAGCGAGTTCGGCCTGGACGTGTAAATCCTTCAAAGCGGCCAGAGCCTCATATTCCTCTAAAAGTGCTCCTGCTTCTAAGGGGCTCCATGTGGATACCAGCTCCCTGATGATCCTGCCGTGGTCGCAAGCCTTTGAGGAACGACGTCTCCTAATAAACTTTCTTCTTAACGTTGCGAAACCGGTCACTTTCTTTTTCTTCTCCCTGAAACAAAGTAACAGAGAGTCATTATGCATTCACTTAAAAGTCAATGAGCCAAGTTTCACATGTACTTCGTGTAATTTAATATTCTTCCCGCCGAAGTATACCACTTGTTGCGACATTTTAAACATGCCTATTAAACACAGGCTTTTCTTTTTATAGATTCGCGTATGTACATGAAACCGTGTACGAAACGACAAAAACAATCAGCGAACGTGAAATTCGCTTCATTACTCCGTTGAATTCGGTTGTACCTCGGAATAGCTAGACTTCAGAGCTTATCGACTCCCATTTAATTCACATTCATAGCAATTAAACTTTCCAAAATGCTAACAGAAGTTACGAGATAAGGAGCCGCCAAAAGTAATGCTCTCAAAGTTATGGAAAACGATGGATGAAACGAAGTCTGACTTTATCGAAACTCTGAGAGCAGCAATTCCTTCTATATCGCGTAAAATCAAAAGCGCAGCGGATGTTCTGAAAATGGTAATTAAATAAACTATCGTTCGATTTAAACACTGTCCTTGTATGAGATAAGTAATATTGCTTTTTTTTTAGATTTTTAAACTACACTATCAAACAAAATACAGTAGTTTTATAACGTTTTTGTTGAAAGTTTTGTGCAACATGGGATAGTCATTTCATACTACTGCATTTTATATAACTTTTGATTGCAACTAAAACTGTTAGTCCTCGTAGTAATTTGTCGGTTCTACCACCCGGATACGTCGTAAATTAACATGTCGCTAATGTTACTTAAGATATATTCATGCAATTAAATGTGCCACCATCATAGGTATATGTAATATCGTGTCATAGTATTTTTAACTTTCTTTTTCAGTGTCTATGACGAAACAACGTCGTTGGATGATGAATTGATTTCTGTTTGAGGTAAAATAAAGAATTCAAATTAAATTAGTTCCCAAAGTATGGTAATGTATCTTCATACTCTTCTTATTTACGATTTTCTTTTGTTAATGAAACAATGAATGTATAAGTAATTTTTAAAGTAAAAATGCATCAATCACATTGAAGTGTTTCAGCAATGGTCGATATCACTGTTTTGAGTATTCATTGCCATGTCAATTGAAAATATCCGTTTAAACAATGTTTGAATTCCTGTCGGTGACATTGAAAATATCAAGACGATGTACATAAGATAAGCTGGGAAACACCTTTGTTGATATTATTATCAAAGTGTATTCTCATACTAATAGGTTTTAAGCTGATAAAAATAATCACTCATCGTTTTACGTACAGTTACATTCAAATGTCAGTGAATCAGGTGTAGTAATTTAAGTTCCCAAATCATAATAAACTGATTCTCTCCGTACAACATATGCAGATGATTAATCTTATCAATATCTTGACATTTGCCAATGATATATTTAAGCCAAGATATCAAGGAATCTATGATTCCATACCGCGTTATTTTAGAATCAATGGTGTCATTTGTTCTCATGTCTGATACAATGTGTACTCGTTATATGGTCGAATAACATTTTCTACTTTATATTGAACATTCCTTTGAATGTATTTTAATGAAAGTAATATAAGTTACCTACCTCACAATTATACCAACTTGATCAGTACTTCCAGGAGATGAAAGTCGAGCTGCTTGAAGCGGGTCTCCACCTATGGCGGCGAGACTGGAAGAAGCTGATGCTCCCATTCTATGGGTCATACGTGAATCATCCCCTCGTCTTTCTCCAGTAGACCAACAACCCTCGATACTGTCTTCGCTTTCTCCACCACGCTGCAACGCACAGGGGAGTAGGGCCCGAAATACATTCATCGCTTTCCCAGACACCAGCCTGAAATTAATTAATCCATTTTAGTTTCTATATTATTATTTTTTAAGGATACAGCTTTCACATGTACGTTAGGGGTGAATTATAGTTTAGGTTTTAATCACAAATCAATTAAAAGATACTTTTGCTCGTATGTTTTCTTGGACCACCGTTTATCCCTAAAACACTGGATTTCCTTAACGGATAAGAATTTGTCTTAAACATAACATTGCAATGACTCCATGATAAACCTGAGAATTATTATTTCTCCATGGTTTATAGGATTGAGATTATTGGTACAAGAACGCATCTTCTCCTTGGAGTCACAAACAATTAATTAGGACAAGTGTTAGCAATTAAAAAATACTGATACAGACGTTCTATACTAACTTCAGACTAACAATAAAAACCCTCATAAGAAGTCGTTAGTCAATGAGAGAAATATATCCGATCCTTCCACACCAACGAGGCTTGCAAGTTAATTATCAGTAAAATGAACCACGGGCAATCCAACTGCTTTGTATCCTCGATTTACCAATTATATTCGGTTGGTGCATAATTAATGTTACTGCAAGGTAAATCAGGAATAACAAAGTGTAACATTAATTATGCAGCAACCTAATACTTTTATCACCAAATGGATCTTATACCAATTCATATTTCCCACGGTGCTCTCCATATTCCAAATAATTGATTAACACATCTTCAAAAAATTTGATCTCAACTATAATGTTCATTCCAACAAGGTTAGGACGAACTCCGAAATAAGTACTCCTATACAGTTTACAAAATTGAGGTTTTCACAAAAATGCATCTTTGTAACGAAGCTACAGCTATGTACTTAAGACAGGTGCAATTCCAGTGATTAAAACACTTTATCCATGGACGTGTTTCTAGAATAAAGATCCTGACAAAGAATAATAAGCCAATTAGAAAAACAATCTAACCCTTTCACGCCAACAAGGTCTGCAAGTTAATTATCCATCAAATGAGCCACCTAGCAACCCAACCGTTTTGCATCCTTTATCTACCAACTATATATGTAATATTAGATTAATGCATAATTAACATTGCACTGCAAAATAAATAAGAAATAACAAAACGTCATGTTAATCATGCATCGATCCAATACCTTCTTAACCGAATGGATCCTAAGTCAATTTATGTCTCTCATATTCCAAATAACTAACCTGATCTCTATCGACTAACACACCTTTGAAGAATGTGATCGTAATATTAATTTACATTTCAACAATTCCATAACGCACCCTCGAATAACTAAACCTCTGCCGTTTACAAAATCGAGTCTTTCGCGAAAATGCATCTTTCAATTAGAGGCACGGACATACTGGAGCCAGATGCGATTCCAGTGATTAAAACTCCTTATCCATAGACAAGGTTCCAAAATAAAGGCCCCGACAAAGAACGATCAGCCAATTAGAAAAACACAATCCGACCCTTTCACGCCAATGAGGTTTGCAGGTCAATTGGCAGTCAGCTGAACCACCTAGCAACCCAGCTGTTTCGCGTCCTCTATCCACCTGCCATAACGCCCCGTTCGCCAGGAGGGTCCTAAACCGACTCGTGCTCCCCCGAGGTGCCCTTCGTCCCGCGAACGGGCCTTCGGGTCAGCTTGGCTAGCGTACGGGTCACCGAAAAACCTGCAATTTTCATCGAGATACACAGAGAGACGGTAAAGGGTCCACCCTTGCGCGGTCGCTGGCGAAACGGCTTTCCAGGTCTCCGGCTTAATCGCGGCTCACCCCAATCGGCTCTATTTACCTGGGTCCTTAGTACGCATATTTCTCGTCGGCTATTGCGACCCTGGGACGATGTCTTCGAGCTCGGGCGCACACAACAAACACTCGTCACACAACACAGCGGCGGCCATGTTTACATTCGGATGCACTTCGACTGTAACCCTGGACGGCCGCAATTTTCAAACTCGCTTGCACGCCCTACCGCGATCCTCCCGCGTCGAGGGCTCCCCGGAAGAGCGTGCGTCCCTTTCCGACATCTAGGGCGGCCCTTTCTGCGATTAACTTTGGCCAAAGCGCAGAGCAGTCGCTCTCGAGTCGAGATACAGGCCAGGCAACAGAGCGCGACTTTCGCTGACGTTGACTGCACGCTGCACTCAACTGCACTGCTCGGTTTATGGTTTATCCGCGGCGTGCAGCGAACGCAGTGGAACGCAGCTGCACCGGGCACTTCGAGGGTTCGAAGAGTTTTCAAGAGTTTTCGCAAGTGCGTTTAAATAGCAATCAAATATCAAATATATTCGATCTGCTCAAATATGCCAGGATATAAATTTATACTGAATATTTTCCCGGCTTTCGAAGCCCAACGAATTGTAAATGAGCTTAATTTTGTTTTATTGGAGTAAACGAGATCCAGAGTTGGGTGATGAAAAATATCTAATTACAGGAAATATTCTGTTACTTTTGTATCCTTGTGAGCCGGAAAGGAAATAATTCAGAAAATGACGGATATTCGGAAAATTCAGAGTTTTTTTAGTTCATGGCCGGGACCCGTGAAGAAATGGATATAGCATGTAGCGAGATTTTAGATAAGGGAGCTGAGTAGGGATGTTTAATCCCGATTCGATTTTTAGAATCGATTCTTTACTATTCGATTTTCTTGAGAATCGATTCTTTACTCACAGAATTGAGAAACCGATTCTTTTTTACTGAAACGGTAGAGGGGAGAAATTTGCTTCGCTCATTGGTTGCTGCTTGTCGCCACGACAAGATTGGCTATTGAAAGTCAGCGTCATGACGCACTTCCGTTGTAACCAGAGATGAGTTGGGAGATTGCTCACGGGCAGCGTCGCGCGATCGCATCGTGTGCTGCCCTCTGCTTTTGTACATGAGCTTTCACCATTTTTTGCGACCAAGGGCGGCGCAACAAATTTCTGACAGGGACTCACGCACTCGAGATGGCG